CCGCATCCTTCCGTCCTGTGTATTTACTGCCTTTCCTGTGTGTGCAACAACCACACATGTCTCTAGGAAGACCTGCCATCTGGAGTCGACTGTGTTCGGTGTTTCGCGCGATCTTCCTCGGGTTCTCCTGTTCCCATTTTTCAGTGACGTCCAACAGATCTCAGCCTCTTCCTGATCGCGTTCAGTTTCGAGCAAAGTTGCAGCCGTCAGTTCACCTGTGCCTTGGGTACTTACCGAAGCAGTAAATCACAGTATTTATAAAACAGATCCAATCGAAAAGACCTTCAGCACGCAATAATTCATAGCCATTGGACGACCTCCAGTCTCTGTAATGATTGATTGATTGATTTTGTTGAGTCTTAAGTTGCGTGACAACGAGTTTCAAATACATGGTCTGTACAATGTCTGATAGCTTGAGAAGACTATTATGAATGGTGGCCGGGGAAGGATTCGGGAAGTGGCGGTCGTGTTTGAAAGACTGAGGAAAAACTCCAAGTATAAGTAGGTTTGAACTTGTTATTTCTGAAAGCACAATTCCAGAGAGTAACCGCTGAGCCAACCTACTCATTTCCTCTGAATAATCATAACGTTCTCTTGTATGCCTATGACGTCACGACTAAGTTACTTTCAAAACTATGGTCACATGGAAGTGAATTTAGAAAGTAACTAGAATTGCTGTACTTTATTTGGTGTTGAAAGAAGTGTTTGCCGCGCGAACACGACCCTGGACTCGACACCCCATTCCCTTGCTCAAAAGATCGCATCGAAAAGTTGATATCCGAGGCGTTACGCGCATGCGTTTGCTGTAGGCCACTGTTGCACTGATACAGCCATGGAACCTATCATTAAGTCGCCCGCTACATTCGAGAACTGCGAGCGAGTGAAGGTTAAACGCCGGCTGATAAGCATCACACGAGGCCGTGGAGATAGCGCTCCGGCCCTGTGGTCTGTCTGGCCTTGCCTTGGGGCTTCGTGATTTTCCTTCGGTAACTGTGTTTACCCCCGCGTACGATCTCGCCCGTAGTCGGAGGCAGCGTCTTCTCTGCGGTCCGTGGCAGGTGACATCGTCAGGGCCAGGCCCACTTTTCTGAATGAAATGACCGCGCATTCATCTTTCATCTTTAAAATCCAGCTGAGGTTTCAGGGCGCATTTCCTCTCGCCTCGTGTCCTGGTATCGACCCAGGTCCGTCTGTTGGAAAGGCGGTAAGTGGTGTATCTGTTTCATTCCATTAATTAAATGCAATATATGTCAGCCAGTCTTTGTTCCGTCATTTTACAACGTTGTTTCAGCAGTTGAGGCTATTTGTAGTAAGGATCGTCTGTCTCCGACACGGGATCGAACCGAGGACCCAGTCCGTCTCTTACCAGGTTCTCACGGCGGTTGTTGGTCTTTTGGGTGGTAACGACGTGTGGACGTTTAAATAGATACCATCGTTTTGAAGGAACATACTGCCTCCATCTTCAGTTCTGAAGATGACGGGAGGAGGGTAATTTTTGAAAAGGTTTGCAGATAAACCGATAAGAGTGTTGAATGTTTTTAAGCCAAACTTCGAGATAGAATCGTCATTTGTAGTGCAGTCAGGTCTCGAATTGGGTCCAGTTGAGGGCCGAGACCGCAGTGTCGCACTGGCTGGTCCAGTCTTGAAGGCACTAACTGATGCGTGGTGGAAAAGTACAGCCCGCCGCCACTTCGCTCGCGACTTGTGTTCGTGTTCGGCCAGTGTGGGCGCCCTCGTTTGATTCCGCACCAGACGTGGCTCCTGCCCGAGGCTTCCTGGAATCAGAACGTTATTGATGAAGTAGCAGCTCGCGATTATTCTCACGTGTTCAGTCGAGAATTGTGTTTGATGACAGGAGAAGCGTTAAAAGAAATTACTGACCGGCTGAAGCCGTATGCAGTGATACGAAGACTTGCCCCGAGGACGAGGCGGCAGTATATTATATTGCGCTTATGGCCGGCCACTCATTAGTAAGTCCCGAACAGCGCCAAGCGAAACCCCGGGGTGTCATAAGAGATTTCCGACGTTTCATCACAGCGATCAAGCTTAAGGTAATTTATTAGTAAAATTATATATCCATTTCTGTTTCTGTGTTAAGCGGTAATTCATTAAACAACACGTACGGTCCACATTCCTTTGCTACGACCAGTAGAAACCCTGAAGAGACGTGGGTCGCTGTGAAAATAGACAATTGCCTTCTTTTTCGTTTTGACCCCCGGAACGAAACAGAAGATCGTCCCCGGATCCGAAGGCGTACGACGTTCGCCGTGGCGTATACCAAGGTTCGCATTCCCGCGGGTGAAGGGAGACCGGGCAAGCGAGTTCCTGGTATTGTTATGTGATGAGAGATTATGTGACCTCATTTAATCAGTTGTGTCTCAGGCCGGGCCAGTGTGTCTTCTACAAGTGCGCGTCTGTCGTCTGGTTCAATCCCCCACCCCAGCACTACACCCGATAAACTAATTGCCCAGCGCTGGGTTACGTACGTCGCCGAAATATAAAATTTATTGTTCCTTTATTGCTCTAAGCATGTTTCGCAGAATAATTATAAGAATTGAAGAAGGATGTAAAGAACGCCTACTTCATGTAAGTCTGTTGTGTCTTTTAACTCGGTCCACCTGTTCTCGCAACAGTTTTCAAGTTAATTCCCTCGTTATTTCGAAAACATTTCTTGTTGTCATGTAACTTTCCCGAAATCATACATACCGGCAAAGAACGGGATTTTACAAGTTGAGGTATGACAGCGTCGCCTTTCCCCAGTTCGACATTCAGACGTCCAATTAATTTGAAGACTGTACGTAAACTCTGTAGTAGAATTTTAAAATTCAAAATTCATCATTCTGGCACCAGAATAGAATTCTATTATGACTTCAACATGAGAGTGCCCTGATAATGAAGGCAGTAAGCACCTCTGAAACGTCGATTAATCTCTGCAAGCCTAAGGCCAAGGCCCGCTGTGTTGACTGATGGGACTGTCGCCTACATTGGCGTTAGGTGTGAACGAACACGGGGCGAAATTTGTCGCGGTCACAGCATATTTGCGTACCGTAACTCTTCCGAGACCGAACCCAGGACTCTTCGCTTAGAAACATGCCATCTGTGGCAGCAGGCCTCCCAGAAGAAGTGGGCAACGTCGCCTGGTGTGTTCTGAGGTTCTCACGGCCTTCCGTTCAGAGGAACTTCCTGCGTGTGTGTGCCTACGCGCTCTTGCGCGAACATCTGAGTGAGTACTCGAGAAAGTTCAGATGCTTTGTGGACGGTGTCTTATCTCGCGTACTGAACGGGTTGCTCGTCAGGTCTAGGTCTCTGTGCGTTACAAGAAATTCGAACCAGGCTGGTGGTTGGTCGTCGATCAGAAATGCGTCTACGTTTACAGTTTCAAAATCAGGCCACGAAACGGGAATTATAAATAATTTAACGCAGCAACCAAGCAGAAGAGTCATTAAGAGTTGCGAAACACTTTCTGCGCATGCTCAGAAGGGGTTCTGTAAATCAGTCAGTACCCGCCAGTGATTATGAAACGATGCTGTTACATAAAACGTGTCCTGTCTCTCTTCTGCATGCATAATTCAAAGACTTTCAGTTGTTCGTCTGCCTGGGTTGGTATTCAGGTACGTTGCTATGACAGCAGGTTGAAAATTGAGCGTGATTTGTTCGATTGGTAAGCTGCGAGAACATCCTCCTGGAAGCCGACAACCTGCGAGACCAACACAGGGAGACGATGATAATATTAAAGTTGTTTTAAAAATAGGTTCCGGTAATATGAACTGAACTCGGTTTGGTACCTCCCGACCTGGCACCAGAGGTTTCTTTTATCGCGACATTGTCTGCGGACTGCAGGTCCTTGGTTGTGCTGTGCTGTCAGGAAATGTGCTTTAACCCAGGCTGGGATTCGAACCGTGCACCTCTCGAAAACGAAGCAAGTGTCCCGAGCGCTTCACGGCGAGGTTTTTGTTTGTCTGGGAGAAGGAATGTTAAATATTCCACCCGGGTGTGTGGACAGTCTCGTTCGTGGGATGACGTGGCAGTGGGCGGACGGGCGGACGGACAGTCCGAAGATGCAAATCCCCACACAAACGTGCAGGCAGCTGTAAGCCCGATTCCTCGCGGGTTCATTTACGAAGGTCCGACTTCGATAATTAAGAAGTCGCTGCTGTTTGCGCACGATGTAAAGACATTTTAGATTTATATCGGTTAAATTATGTCGCTATCTTAGATCTATGTTTTTGCATGCTTTTATTGTGTGGCGACGTACACGGTTCTTTTGTGGAATTTTGTCTGTGTACTCTACGCACTGTTATGGATTTGAAACCCTTTCTATGGCACCACACATGAAATTTCCCCCCGATGTTTTATGACTGAAATTATCACTTATTGTAATAGCTGTGTTAGTTAAAATTACGATCGTGTTGTGTTTGACATTTCGAGATTGTTTTTAAACGTTTCTGATTCTCAGTAGACATGGCAGGTCTGAGCACACAGAATTTTTGTCCGGAAACCAGTCCATTTTATTGTAATACGTGGGTTTTGACTCTGAACACGCCTTGACAGCTTCATCTCATATACCACGCGATGCGGTCGCCGTGTTGGAACTGTTCGTGACATTCAGTGACGCAATGTCCATGCTGGTTTTCAGAAAATCGCGTAATAATTTTCTGTTCATTTTTGCCGAGGCAACGCAGCGCCTTCTTCAGAAGCCACGGACTGCGTGGCCTTCCCACCGGAGAGACACCGCCGCCATTTGTCAAGGCGCCACCTGCGTCACACAATGGCGCATTTGAAATGCGCTGGGACAGTCCGGTCGTAAGAGGTTCGTCACTTCCGCGTGCTCGCATCTGTCAGCTTTGTTCGTTTACTCTGGAGACGTTCCTTCGAAATTAAACACCGAGGACCATCCGATCGATGGCAGTCGAAGGGTTTTTTGGTTTTATGTTATTATTTTCACTCCGTTTTTATAACTATTATCGGACTTATTATTATTATTATTGTTTGTGTTTCAGGATGAGAGCGAGTCCCAGTCCAAGAGGTGGCCAGCGAGCACGCCTCGTCCTGCCTCCAGCCCCATGCATCCCACCTCCAGAGAGGTAAGAACTCCATCTTCAGTTGTTCATGTGTTTCCGTGGTTTCCGCAGTGGCGGATGGCCCGTCACCACTCACTTCACGTCCTCGAAGCCGATACGGACCCACACGCACAAGCCATTGGACGTAAAAAAATATTATTCTGAGGGATAACAATTACAGGCAGTCGATGGGCGCAACTCAGCATCACGTAGAACCATAGGCCGACATCAGGAGAACATTCCTCTGCTGCTAAAGCAAATTTCTTGTCCTTTCACACGGACATTGGTTGCCCACAGTAAGAGGATTCCATTTGGATTCCCGTTTGTCTTAGGGTCACATTTTTAAGCTGTCTCAAGAATTGCGTTTACTTGTCAGTCCATGTGTTGTTGATTTCCATCGATGCGTTGCCGAATTCATAATTTATTATCTCGTCGAGTGCGTAGTGTCGAAGTCACGTGTTCTGCTTGTAAACAGCCGAAGAACTAAAGCCGCTCCGATGGATCTCTTTAGTGCAGCGCGCCACAGCCAGCTCCTTGGGCGGATTTTATTGTGTTGTAAATTATTCTGGGGCCTGATACGCGCACTTTGCAGGTTTCGGCCGAGCAATCCTTTCCTTGTTTCCATGGTACAGAGCCGGTTGTTGGCTCCTTCTAGACAAATAGCAAGATGAAGGCTCTCTTTCATTGTTCCAGCCAACTATAAAATATCGAGCCTTGTGAGCATCCAAGTCGCGTTTAATTACGCACTTCCATGACTGACTGACTTCCTGCTTCACTTTTCTAAGTAAATACCACCAGAATTTAATGTTTTCGGCTCCAACTCGAAGAACAGAAGCTTCCCTGTGTATTTTTACGTCTCGTTATTCTCCTGTTGGGAGAAGTATAGACGATAGTAACTACGTCCCGTTATTCTTCTGTTGGGAGAAGTATAGACGATAGTAATCAGTGTTAATTTTAATTTTATTTGTGTTTGGAAAACGTGACACTATCTGCATTAAAGTTGTTATTATTTGAAACGAGATACTGGATGGGTGGATCGTGTATTTGCTGCTGGCGTTGAAATCTGTTTAGCGCGGCCCTAAGTGGATACAGCTCGACAGTAGAATTTGGGATTAAAACGATTTATCAATTCCCGTGTAGTGTAAGCCCAACATTCAGCTCAAGAACATGACGACCAGATATTGAACGTAACCCTTACGTACCGAAGCTCGTGTAATTTGTATTTAATAATTCAGTCCGTACCGATAAGAAAACACAGCACTTCACCATTACAAAGACGAACTGGTTAATGCTGCTTAAGGAAGTGATCGCTGTTTCCAGTGAGAGTCATTCGAAATACACAGATCTATTTTGTGGGCGAAATGTAGAGTTATATACTGGTACGTATAGTTACCACTGAGATTTGAATTGTTAATTCACCGAATATGTAATATATGAACCCATATGATGCTCTTCGCTGCATATGTCAAGGTGGGTTGAGAAGAACACGGTCAGGGTTTTTTTTAACGTATTCGCGCGGTAGAATTCCACGTAGAATCATGTTCCTTCTATAGGTCAGAGCTCTATTGCATTAAACCACATAAAGTCATGTCCCTTCTATAGGTCAGAGCTCTATTGCATTGTCATACACGTCAGACGTGTCCCTGTTAAGCCGTGGTAGTTGTTACAAAAGTGTCGAGTTACGTATTAACCATTGTATTAGGTGGTTTGATGCTTTGATGATCGGAGGTGATCATGACGTAGGTGTTTGATTCGCAGATCATTCGGCAACGGAGCTCGAACTTTTGACCCTTTAAATAATGATAACACACCTAGAGAAAGGCCTCTTTACGTAATAATTCTGCCCTGCCAATGTGAGATTTTGTTAAGGCACAGGCTGATACGTTATTGGCCAGGAAATTTGGTAATCCTCCGTGGGCCCGTACCAGCATTCGGAGGTGACCGTTCGCTCGGCGCCTCGGTGTGTACACGTGTGAGTCCGTCATTCGTGACCGACCTTCGTCGTGAAATTCTGTCGTGTTCGACGTTCGATTAGCTGTTTTGTAACATGATGTTCCGCTCAGCTTCAGATAACGTTTTCGCCTGCAAATGTTGCGGGCTGCATCGAGGCCAGTGTTCAGTTTTGGCCGCTTCGTACCTGTTCCGAGGACTTACATGCGAAAATAATATTAAAATTAGTGTCAGGGGAATGGGTTTGAAGATTAGATTTATATGGCTCAGCATATTGACCGGTGGCTGAACACGTCAATGAACCTTGGGGAATTTTTCGACTAGCTGAGCGACTGTTAGTTTGTCAGGAAAGACCCTGATCCATTGCGTCCTTCAATTGATAGAACGTCGTAAAACAACCTGTGTTTCCGCTCAAACCCTTTGTTTTGCGGAACTGAAACTGTCATTACAATTCGAATCACGTTGGCGCACGAATTAGCGGGCGCATTGTGAAATAGTTGCAATCACAGCCAACGATAATCAGCTCAGCGGAGATTTTTTTTTTATACAAACGAATTCGAGCGTAGCATAAATTTTGCCTCGTATTTGGTCATAAGGCGTGGCTGCTAATACAATGGCTGAATTGAGAAATGTAGTAGTCCGCATTTCTTATTGCATCTTTTCACTTTCCATGAGACCGGTCCAGAACGTACCAATAATAATAAATAGCTGGGACATGTAATTGAGGTGCACGCATGACGTCCAAACCGGATCACATGTTAACTCACTTATTCTGGAGAAAGGAATTAGACGGCAAAATTGATAAAACTGGATGTAAATTGGACTGTAAATCATTCCGTATACCCACAAGCACAACTTGATACATTTTTTCGTTTGGCATTCTGTCGACGTGTTCTTTCCATCCCCGTATTTTTGTGTATATTTATGTGTCGTCGTCTTCTGCGAGTAATATCGTCATTTCATCCTACGCAAATATGCGGCTCCTTCAGCACTAGGCAAACATTTGTCTTGGGAGCTTCGTGCGCCGTTCAGCTCCTTGGTAAGAAGGACCTTGCAAGGGCACATGCGATCCTTCCGAAAATAAGTTCCTTAGACTCGTAATTCCTTCTCTGACGAGCCCAGAGCAGACCGGTGTCGCTGGGAGAAGAGAAAAGACTGATCTTAATAATTGCACACGTTGAGATCAGGTTTAACCCATAATTTGGCTGCAAATCGAATGAGGCGTAATCAACACTCGTAATGATCGGTTGTGCATTTTACTCAAATAGCACGTGACCTCCGACCCCCTGTCCGACCGCAAGAAGGGAATGGGACCAAATGCCCAACTGCCACAGCTGAGAGGAAGTGCCCTAAGGGCAAACCTTCATTTGAAAAACAGCGGACCCTCGACGGCTTGTACTAATTTGTATTTCGTTTGACTCTGACGATGTCTTAAAAAGTTTTCGTGTGAAGGGACTATTTTCTGTTCGTTTCGAGTTTTTGAGAAAGTTTGCTTCGAACTTCCGAGTGGGCGGACAAGAAGATCAGTTACTTCTCCCGGTAACCGCCACAGTAACCAGTTGCATCGGAATCCAGCCAGTAGATCCCTGTTGATACTCGGGCGGCCTAAGTTGTACATGGCCCGGGTTAGCGTTGGGACAAGCCCTGTTAGTTCCGTTCATCTCTCATGGTTTGGTATGTGGTGTCCCGACTTCGCGATTAATTTAATGACGAGTTGGTCCCCGAAGTAAATTGGAAGATTTGTTCGGTTGGCTCTTTGCACGTTTAACGACGTGGTGAGAACTGCTTGTGTAAAATGGAATCACACATTACAGTGCAACTGAGGAAAAGCACGCAGTACTTCAGTCATGGCAGCCATAGCATGAGTACGAAGCTGTGGTCTTCTGTTCTGTCAGAAAAAGTTTTTGTGATTGCTTTCATTGCGATATTAATCGAAATCTATTCACGGTAACTCGCTATACAGCCTGAAAAAGACGTCGAACCACTTAACTTTCCGGACTTAATCCACTCTATTATGTAAATATTGGCCTAATTGGATGGTACACGCAAACATTGCTTTGGCCAAGGGAATTATTTTTCCTTGCTGGGTACTGTAGGATCGTAGATAAATTGCAGTGACCAGATTAAAAAAAATGCTCTTGCCACTGGCGAACTCACATTTCAGACCTTCCGATGCACGAGTGCGTTCATACATCCAGCAGAGACGATCGATAACAGATCTGCCTACTCGATCCAGCCACCGCGGGTTCGAAGGTGCGAACTAATACGTCATTTGCGTAATGAAGTACAGTAATAGAAAGTCTGATGGAACTCAATTATTCTCCGGAACCCGAAGGCCCAATCTACAACTTGGCTGTGGGCCTGCCGTGCCACCTGACGGGGTTATAACTCTCCAACGAGCAGGTGGGATGAATGTGTGTAGCCAAAGAATGCCTTGTTCTCCGGACCCTTCGTTTCCACGATGAAAAATGCACGCGACAGTTCAAGATATAAACCGCGGAAATCTTGTTTGCGTGCAGGACCGTGCGGTGATCATGACGACGAATATGTAGATGGCTGTCTTCTGGGTAGTTGTCTCGTGCAATCTGGTAGGTCTTCGACCGACGTTTCAGAGGAGCAGCGATCTCTTCTGAAACGTCGGTCATATCTGCGCGGACCACACGGCACATGCCAGAAGGGAGCCGTGAGAACCTGAAATCTCAGCTGTTTGACCGCGTCGTCAGTCGACATGCGTGAAGCGAATTGTGGCTTTGCGTATTTGAATACGTGAGAGCAGTACAAGTACGTGAATGAGACATAATGAAATATGCCGGATGATTTAGCATTTTTGTGACGAACAGAGGTGAACAACCGCATTGAAGCCAGGTGGTGTTGGATTCCCCGCGGTGCGGAAATTCGTGGTTTCTGCACCATCCTCGCAAATGACAACCGCATTAATAATGGCGCCATTACACATTCAGATTGGCTACTGGTCTCTGCCACAGTGTGGTCCAGAAAGCGGATCCCTCAGTGTTCGACAGTGCAGTGATCGGATTGTGTTTTGTTTTAGGCGGCAGGGCCACCTGTGCAGGTGGAGCCCGTGGACCTGAGTGTGAAGGCCCCAGTGGTCCTGCAGGTGCCCCGGTACAACCCTCAGCTGCCCACCAACGGCCTCACCTACCCAGGTAAGACGTTCCCACGGACCCAGAACGGGTCTCACAGTGTTCGCTCGTGCTCCCAAGCGTTGCCAGTTGTTTTAAACCTTCGGGACCGCGAGTGCGCCACGCGATGTCTCTTGTTCCCAGCAGAAACAGGTTCTGGTACGGGATCTTCTTCGTCCCGAGGCAGGGTCAAACACGTGACCGCGGGTCAGCTGGGCCGTGCTGGGGCTGACGCGCCTGCGCACAGCTGAGCCTGCTGTTAAGGAAGTGATCCGTGTTAGGATTCTGCATGTCACTTCAGCAAACCGTTTTTAAGGTATCTTCTGTTCAAAGAGCATGGACAAATTTGCGTCAACGATGAAGTCTTGGCACTGCATTAAATGAAACTTTGTCCAGTTCCGTTTAGGACCGTAAGTTATAAGACAAGGTGCTGAGGGAATTTTTGGAAATCTGCTTAACCACGAACTTCAAATTGTGTACTCTTCCCCGAGTATCATTATGGCAATTAGATCGAGGAGGATGAGGTGTAGCGCGCATGGGGAGATGAGAAATTTGTACAAAATGTTGTTTTGAAAGCCACGAGCGAGGAGGGCACTTAGAACACCTAGGCATATGTGGGAGAATAATATTAAAGTGGATCTTAGGTAAATAAGACTGTGGGTTTAGTTTATCTTGACTCGTTCAAGAGAGCAATGGCCTCAATGCAGGAAACGAGGTTCAGTTTCTTGACTAGGCTGGCGACCGTCAGCTTCTCAAGAAGTAACGATAGTGTTTGGCCGAAACACACAGATTGTGAGGGTCTGAACCGGTTTTGTGTCAGGTGACTTGTGTCTGTATTGGC